ACCCTAGCTCTGATGGAAGCCTGGAACCCACCCTCACTGTCCATGTACCAAAGCAGCAATACATGTGGTGCCTTTAAGGCAATACCTGCTGCACCACTCTTTGATAAAGACTGGCCCCTTAACAGCCCACTGTCTAATGAGCAGCTGGGGATGCAGCCTTGAGCCAAAGTGCTCCCTGCTGGTAAAGATCTGAGACACCCGGGCAGGTCTTCTACACTCAGGCAACCTGGATAGTGAGGCTGAGAGTCCTTTCATTTGTAGTCATACCTGTTTGCGCTTCCACGGAAAAATACGGCTGACCTTCAAGAATGCTGTACACTAGTTTGGCACTGTTTCCATACGTAGGATCATCAGCATCTGAGGCCGTCACCTGAATAACTGACGTACCTAAAAACAGAAAGGGAACCATTGCAACATTAAATATGCTTGTGTTTTAAAAAAGCCAACAGAAGCAAAGAGAACATTTTCAAATTCACTTTCATTATTAAAAAAAACAAAAAAAACAAAACAGCAATTGGAGATCATTTCATAATTAGGCACTAGCAAATTAAACCGAAAGTGCTATCCCCCTACAAGAGGTACTGCTAGGAAATCACCAGTGGATACCCACCAGCTGTGCCAGAGATTATGGAAAATCTCTGACCAATTAATTTCTTGGAGTACACAGTTCAGTAAATTCTATTTCACTAAATACTCTCTGTCTCTCTGACTCTTCTTGGCAACTGCTTTATATCACTATTTGGGACATTCATTTATACACATATTCTCTCTCTCATTCTCAAAAAAAAAAAAAACCCACAAACCAAACCAAACCTCCTTTACTAGTATTTGGAAATTATATGCATGATAATTGCCAAAGTAAGTGGAAAATTTCTTTGGCTGAGTTTACAGAAAAGAAAAGAAGAAACATTCAGAATCTGTTCTTATGTAACAGAGCCAATTTCATACATTTTATCCCTCAGTATGAATCATGAAATATTATATGGTATTGCTGTAACAGCCAACTCCATGTAGCATCCAGGGCTACTGCTTAGGGATCAGCAATCCCATGAGAATCCCCGGGTTTGTGGACAAATCCAAAATAGGTAATGCAATGTGTGCGTGTGTCCCCCAATTTATGCATGCACAAATATGGGGGAGGAACCCTGGTGAGCTGGGTAGGAAAGCTGATGATGATCTAGAGAGAAGGGAAGCAGAAATTAATGGGGGGAAATCAGTAGGGTTGCCACTTGCCAGCTCTGGGTTGGGAAATACCTGGAGATTTGGGAGGGTGTTGCGGAGAGGAGGAACATCAGCATGCTACAATGCCATGGAGTCCATCTTCCAAAGCAGCCATTTTCTCCAGGAGAACTGATCTCTGTTGTCTGGAGATCAGTTGTAATTCTGGGAGCTCTCCAGGCCCACCTGGAGGTTGGCAACCCTAGAAATCAGATTAGGCTTGCCAGCCTCCAGGTGGGACCTGGGGATCTCTTACTTTTACAACTGATCTCCAGCTGACAGAGATCAGCTCCCCTGGAGAAAATGGCTGCTTTGAAGGGTGGACTCTATGGCATTGTACCATGCTGAGGCCCCTCCCCTTCCCAAACCCTGCCCTCTCCCAGATCCACCCCCAAAGTTTCCAGATATTTTCCAACCCAGACCTGCAACCCTACAGAGGAGACATGCTTCACCTTCCAGTCCAAGGGACAGCCATCCCACAATCATATTGAATCAGCAGTTCCTCAGGTAGTTGTCATATAGGAGAAGAACCTAGCTTGCAGCCTGTGCTATTGCTACGCTGTGGCCCCTCCCCTCCCCAAACCCCTCCCTCTCTCGGATGCACCCCCAAAGTCCCCAGGTATTTTCCAACCCAGACCTGGCAACCCTAAATCAGATTTCCACTTGCACATGAGTCTTTGAATTTCTCTCTTTCATGAGTGATAGGGGTCAACAGCTGCCCTTCAGTTATGGGGTGAGGAAGTCACCTTGCAAGAAATTAGTTTAAACCCTGGCCTAGCTGTGTCCTCAACTGAACCACAATGATTTTAGTTTTAACAGGAATCGTTCCCATTTTCTAATACACACCACTGTCTTCTGTCCTTTGGGGATATTTGACGGATATCCCCCACACACACACACACACACCACGATAACACATAGCATGTATATATTGTCATTGTTGCTCATAGAACTTCACACATATAATCTTGGGACAACCCCTGCAATATCCCTATAGAGCAAGGCAATATGATTAGGACAGAGAAAAAGTGGCTTGACTAACACTGCATTGGAGCTGCGGTGGCTCAAGTGGTTAAGACACTGAACTGTAGGCTGTGGAAGGTGGGTAGTTCAGCAGTTCAAGACCCGAGTGTGCCGCATGACGGAGTGAGCTCCCATCTCTAGTTCCAGGTCCTGCCAACCTAGCAGTTCGAAAGCAAGAAATTGCAAGTAGATAAATAGGTATCGCTTTGGTGGGAAGGTAACAGCGTTCCGTGCGCCTTGGTGTTTAGTCATGCCGGCCACATGACCACGGAAACATCTTCGGACAGTGCTGGCTCTTCGGCTTTGAAACGGAGATGAGCACCGCAAACCTAGAGTCGGATTCGACTGGCTTTCGAGCAAGGGAAACCTTTACCTTTACCTTTACCTAACACTGCATAGAGAAATCACAGCAGTGGTAGAGATAAGATCTGTACCAGAGACTTTCTGGATTGCTATGGGTGCCCTGAGGCAGATTTAAAACAAACCAAACCAAAATGTGGCCTAGGGTTGCTAACTCTGGCTTGGGAAGTTCATGTAGATTTGGGGGCAGTGCCTGGCAAAGGACTTATACTTCTCCCAGACTCTTCCATCCTCCAAAGCTGTCATTTCCTCCAAGACAACTGATCACTGTAGTCTAGAAATGACTTGTAACTCTGAGAGAACTCCACATCCCACTTGGAGGTTGATAACAGGGTAGGGATGCAACCTGTAGACCTCAACTATTGCATAGGCCTTAGGAATGCCATATGGCTTTCTTGGAGGAAGGACTGAATTATGGGCATGCCACCTGGTGGCCATTCAAACAATTAGCAAACCTGGATTTCATTTTTTAAAGACTGGTAAGTCTTCAGTCCTTGCAAACTCAAGAATGCAAAGCAAAATAAGCAACATTGTGTCCTGTTCTATAAGGAGAGAAGAGCCCATTTGAATTTCCCATGCTTATAGCCAATAAGGGAAGACGCAGCTATAACTAACATGTTCTCTGTGTCTCTTCTGGGATAGAGCAAGTAGAGAAAGAAGTACTTTTCTCCCTTTCTCACAATACAAGAACCCATGGGCACTCAATGAAATTGCTGAGCAGTCAGGTTAGAAGAGATAAAAGGAAGTACTTCTTCACCCAAAGAGTGATTAACACATGGAATTCACTGCCACAGGAAGTGGTGACGGCTACGAGCAGGGACGGCTTCAAAAGGGAATTAGATAAGCATATGGAGCAGAGGTCCATCGGTGGCTATTAGCCACAAGGTATAGACAGGAACTCTCAGTCTGGGGCAAGTGATGCACTGTATTCTTGGTGCTTGGGGGGGGGCAGCAGTGGGAGGGCTTTTAGTGTCCTGCCCCCACTGCTGAACCTCCTGATGGCACCTGGTATTTTTGGCCACTGTGTGACAGAATGTTGGACTGGATGGGCCATTGGCCTGATCCAACATTGGCTTCTCTTATGTTCTTATGTTCCCTGAAATTTTTTGCTGTTGCCTTAGAAGAAAACACAATTAAATCTTGGAATGAAGAAACTGTCAGGTTAAAAAAAAATCCTCTGATTTTTCAAGGACACAAGAGTCTGGGAGAAATTCATGTTTTTGTGTCCTTGGTTTGTATGCTTATGAATTTGCATAGCATGCAAATTAAGCTGTCTCAATTTCGTGAATTAGAGTATGGCAGCTCTAACATGTGTGCACATTCCTAGATGTGCCAGAAGCTTATTCCCAAGGCAAAATACACAGCGATGTACCAGAAATCCTATACCCATTAAATGGAATGTACATAATTAGTGATCAAACACACAGGAATTATCCCTGGACCTCCCTTCTTATCTTATCATGAAGTCCGTAGTACATTTTTGTGTACCTACCTACGTTGGATCTCTCTGGTACATTGGCATGGTAGTTTTCATGTAAGAATTCAGGGGGGTTGTCATTAATATCTTGAACTTTCACAATGAATTCAGAAGGTGGTTCCAGGGGTCGGTTGGTATTCCGGTCCACAGCTTGGGCAGTTAAAGTGTACTGAGCTCTTTCTTCCCGATCCAGTGTCTTTGTTGCATGGATGTTCCCTGATTTGTCATCAATGACAAAAATGATTCCTGCTCCTTCACCTGAGAGAATATATTTAATGTTCCCATCACCAGAATCAATATCGGAATGAAGCTGTAAAATGCAAAGCATACATGTTTGTTATTTCAAAAACCAGTCATTACAGCTGGTTAACACTGAGTGACTTGAAAGTGATAACTCTTTGAGATGGTTTCTAAGAATGATTCTGATTTCTTCCATCATCATCATCATCATCATCATCATCATCATCATCATCATCATCATCTGCCAGTGTGTGTAGTATAGCCAGGAGATCCTAAGATTGTCTGGTATCCAGAAGTCCTAGTTCTTTTAGAGTTATGCACCACTAGGTGGTGAGCTACACTTGGGTTTTTTAAGGCAAGAGATGTTTCAGAGGTGGTTTGCCATTGGCTGCCTCTGCATCACACCCCTGGTATTCCTTGGAGGTCACCCATACAAATACTAGCCAGGGTCAATCCCGCTTAACCTCTGAGATCTGACAAGATCAGGCTAGCCTGGGCCCAAGAGCAATATGCCTTGGAAGATCTTGTTCCAATATGAACTGACCATGTGTTGGATCCAAACTATATTTTACATAGAATCATTGCAGATCATCTAGTCCAACCCCCTGCACTCTACAAAAGCATAGCTGGAAGATAGCCCCACAACATACCCGAAAGATGGTCATCCAGCCTCCGCTTGAAAACGTCAAGTGAAGGAGCATCCACCACCTCCCGAGGCAGACTTCTACATGACAGCCCTTCAAATACTTGAAGACTGCAATCATGTCCCCTTCTAAGCCTTCTCTTTCCCAGGCTAAACATACCCAACTCTTTCAGCCTTTCCTCATAAGACTTGGATTCCAACCCTCTCACCATCCTGGCTGCCCTCTTCTGGACACACTCGAGCTTGTCAACATCCTTCTTAAAATGTGGTGTCCAAAGCTGGACACAGTACTCCAGGTGAGGGCTGACCATAGCACAATAGAGCGGAACTACAACCTCCCATGATCTGGACACAATGCTTCTGTTAATGCATCCTAAGATTGCATTAGCTTTCTTCGCAGTCACATCGCACTGCAGGCTCATGTTTAGCTTGTGATCAACCAGAACACCTAGATCCCTTTCACATGTGCTGCTGTCAAGCCAAGTCCCTCCCATTCTATATCTGTGCCTTTGATTTTTTGTACCTAAGTGTAGGACTTTGCACTTATCTCTATTGAAATTCATTTTATTTGTCTCAGTCCACTGTTCCAGCCTATCTAGATCATTTTGAATCCTGACTCTGTCTTCTTCAGAATTAGCAATCCCACCCAGCTTCGTGTCATCTGCAAATCTGATAAGCATCCCCTCTATGTCTTCCTTCAGGTCATTTATAAAAACACTGAACAACACTTGGCCTAGGACCAAGCCCTGTGGCACTCCACTCGAGACTTCCCTCCATGTAGATGCACAGCCATTTACGAGCACTGGTTGTGTACGATTTTTCAACATGAACTTCCCTGCCTCTCCCTCCCACTACTACCCACTGATCTCCATGAAATGTTTGTCCTGGGGAATGGGGAACCCCAAAGAATGAGTGAGGAGGGAATGTGCAGTGGGAAGGGCAAATCAATGGAAATTGTCAATTTAGTCTGGATCCATTCCCATGTCTTGGAAGAGACCTGCATGTATAGTTTTGATCAGGGCTCTTTTTGTAGAAAAAGCCCAGCAGGAACTCATTAGCATAATAGGTCACACCCAACACCAGAAACTCATTAGCATATTAGGCCACACCCTGACCATGCCACTCATTAGCACATTAGGCCACACCCCCAAGTTACCAGAAGTGTGGTCATCCAGCCACACCAACCTTTCCCTTCTTATTCTGTTTACCTTGTTTGTTGTCAAAACCCAAGGGCTTTTTTTTGTAGCAGAAACTCCTTTGCATGTTAGGCCACACACCCCTAATGTAGCCAATCCCAATGAGTTTCTGATGTTGGGTATGGCCTATTATGCCAGGGTCACTATGCAAAAACAGGTAATAGCAAACCGACCACCGTGTTCTTCTCTTGCCTTGAAAACCCCCAGGGGGTTGCCATAAATCAGCTGCGACTTGACGGCACTTCCCATCACTAATATAACTAGCAAGCTATTTTAAATTGTCTGATGGGAGAATTATAAAGAACATTGAGGATTAGTTCAGAACTCGCTCAGATATATGTATGTAACTGATTAGCAGTTGTCGAGATTAGGAGGAGGAAAAGTAGCATATCTTTTTATGAAAGGTTTTATATCCATGATTATTTTAATAAGCTGATTGTCAAAAAAAAAAGTAGATCTGTGATTTGTGGAACAGCAACAAAGCAGCCACCCATTGGGTTCCAACTAATTTCCAATTTCTTCGATACTTAATGCCCATTGTGATGTAATAATGAATGGCACTAAAGCAATTAACGCATGAAATGAAATGTGAGTCCCACTTCCTTGGCTCCCTTTCCTCTCGCAACCCTACAGGCTTTGGCTCTATGAATTGGTATGAATATGAAATATACAAAATTGGACCATCTTTGCTTTCTCATATTTTATCCTGCTTAAGCTGATACAATAATGAGAGCATGCTACTCAATGAGCCATGTCCATCGCATCTGTTTTACACTGGTTAAAGCCCATTGGTTTGAGGAGAGTTGCACTTGAGGGTGCTTTCTGATGTTTCCTGGAAAATGAGCGGCATTCCGGGTCAAACAACACAAATTGCAGCCCAGATGAGGGTTAATTTGTGAGAAACCTCAAGAGCATAGCTACCATTTAGGCAGATTTTTCTCTCTCTTTTTTTAAGCCTAGATTCTAGCATGTGTCTGTGTTTGAAGATCAAAGCAATATTTTGGTTTCTTACCCTGCCCACCAGTACAGGATCTGGTCCTGTGTATTCCTCTATTACAAAGAATTGATTCCAAACCCATCCTCTTTTGGAACGGTGGAGAACTTGCCCTTCCTTTCCCTTTTCATGGTGTCCATGGAGCGACGGCCTTGAAGAATGCAGCCTTTCCGTTGCCATGGCCAGGGTGTAGCTCAGCATTCCCAGGCAGAGAAGGGCAGCATGTAAACAGTTGTCCTCCTTCATTTTTGGTTAAGGTACAGGCACCAAGAGTATCCCCAAATCAATCCCTTCCTTGCAGGGCCCCCACAATAGTCCCCCCCCCCAAAAAAAGAACAGTATAATCCTTCGGAAATTTCAGATGTAGTTCTCCACACACAAGATGTCCCTGCTCCTTAAGTGCATTACTTCAGTTCCATCCAGATTCCCAAATTAATTCCTACAGAAAAAGAGAAAGGGAAGAAAGTTAGTTTCTTTCTGCCTTCCTCTCCAGTCAGATCTAAGCAAGTTACAATTTCATGATGTGACAGGCAACAATAGAATTAGGGTTGCCACCTCTGACTTGGGAAATTCCTGGGGATTTGGGGGTAGGTTTGGGGAGAGGAAAAAGATCAGCAGGGTATAATGCCATAGAACCCACCAGTCTGGTGTAGTGGTTAAGTGCGCAAACTCTAATCTGGGAGGACCGGGTTTGAGTCCCCACTCCTCCACTCACAGCTGCTGGATGACCTTGGGCAAGCCATAGTTCTGTCAGAGATGTTCTTGAAAAGAGCAGTTTCTGTCAGAGCTCTCTCAGCCCCACCTACCTCACAGGGTGTCTGTTGTGGAAGGGAAAGGAATTTGTAAGCCACTCTGAGACTCAGAGTGAAGGGCGGGGTATAAATCCAATCTCTTCTCTTCTTCTCCTCTCTCCACTTCAGACTGCACTTTGAGGGCTCACATGTACGGCAGCCAACCTCTACGTGAGGCATAGAGATCTCATGGTATTGCAACTTATCCGCAAATGGTAGATCCTGGCTGGCAAATTTCTGGAGCTCTGGGGGTTAGAGCCTGGAGGGACCTTAGCAGGTATACTGCCATAGAGTCCAGCCTTCAAAGCAGCCACTTTCTCTCAGAGAACTGGAGATTAGTTGCAATTCCAGGAGATCCCCAGGCCCCATCTCTCCCTCCCCTCCCCCTTGGCCTGCAGGACAGGCCTGCAGAAATTGTAACCTAACTAACTGTCTGCATCTCACCAGACATGTATGGCAGCCTAGCAGAGGCAGTGTGCTTCTGAATGTTGCTGGGAACAACAGCTGGTGAGGGCTAGTGCCCTGTCCCTTGCTGATTGGCATTCTGAAAGCATTTGGTTAGATATTGTAGAGGGGAAAGAATGGTAGAGTGACACGTGGCCTGTTCCAGCACACCTTACATTAGATTCAATAGGCTCACAGAGCATCTGCTTTGCATGCAGAAAATCCCAGGCTCAGTCCTTTGCCTGTCTGGGATCGGGTAGGAGGTGATGCGAAAATACACCTACTTGAGACCCTGAAGAACTGTTGCCAGTCATTGTGGGCAGTACCAATCTCAATAGACCAATGATCTAACTCAGTAAAAGGCAGCTTCATGCGCTCAATTTACAGGGTCAAAAGAGTGGGCGGGCTTCTATTAGAAAAGAGCCCAGAAAAAGGCATCCCGGTCATAGTGATGGATTCTCGCAGGTCATCAAAAAAACATATTTAACAGGGAAGTTTTCCTGTCGCTATATAACCTGCTTCACATGGAGTGCAGACACGGGGAAGAGCAAAATGGAAGAGCAACTTTTCTTTCACTGACCATTAATTTCAAATGATGCAGTTGACAATAAGGTAGGAGAAAATCTGCCAATATTCCATGTAAAATGTAACATAACTTTATTACTGGGATTATTATCTAATTACCAAGGAAGTCCTCGGAATAATAAAAAAGACAAGAAGATGTATGAAAGTGTTTACAATCAGTTGTTCAGGCATGAAGAACTAAACACAAAACATTAACCACACATCTAAGCTATTAGCCTTAATTTACTAATTAGGGTTTAATGTGGTAATTGCCTTCAATCTCTATTTAAAAAAAATCTCTGTGTAGAGGAAAGGATGGGCTTATGTATTCTTTATAAAGAAACTCCTGTAGTATCCACATTTGTTGGCATGACAACAGTACCCCTACCACAAAACAGTGATCATTTCAGACTGGAGGAAGGAAATACATAAGAGTCATTTTTTTCAGCCAACCAGTTCTCCACACAATAAAGTTTTGGGTTTTTTTACTGCACACCGGCAATTGAAGCAAGTAGACCTCAGGAACATGAAGGTCATTCTGAATTGGCTATGCCTTAGCCTTAAGCTCTTGTGATCTATTCACGGGAAATGAGCACCATGAGCAGCAAGCACGTTGTTGTACACTCTATCACAATCCCACATGAATAGCTCAGCAAGAACTACTTCATTCATCTGGATCAGCCGTTGGGTGGAAGTACGCTGAGTGACTAATGACTGTCAGAAACTGAAATTTTCACATCAGAATGGCATGTTCGCAAAATTCGGTAACCTCCCGGTAATGGAGCCATGATGTTTCCAGGCAGGTTCATGGATGGATGGAAAATGAAAGTTTAAAGTGGCCATTTACTGAAACCAGCAGTTATATTGGATTGCAGAGTCAGTTAAAATGATCCTTAAATTAAGCAAACTAGCAGAACTCTGGCCAAATAATGGTCTCCCTTTTAGAAGGTGAATGTAGCTGCAAGTATGATAAATATCTCGTGGAAGAGAATATTACAATCATAAATAAAGTTTATTTATTTTAATCCTGGGAGCTCAGGGTGGCTTTTGAAACCTAAATAAATACCAAAAATATCAACCTCTGACATGTCAAGGTAAAAGCCCTGCACTCCCAACAAAATCTTCCTCTGCTCCTCTCCTTCCATTCCCCCCCCACACACACACTTTAAATGTCCTTGGGAAAAATGCTAAGAGATGAATCACAGGGGGGGGGGGGGTGATGACAAGGCTGGCATCTAGGAAACCAACCGTGCTACCTCACAGTATTCAAGCATGCTCTATACACAACAGAGAGAGTCCCAAAAGGAGTAAACAAATTTCCAGTGAGTGCCTTTATTTCAAACACCAAGTGCTGAAGACTAAAACAATCCCTTGGATTTGTCTAACTGGCATGTCTGCATGATACATTTAAATAGCAGTTGTTCCTCGGGGATGCATATTTAACAGGACAGACTTCAAAAGTATGCTATATAATGACATTATGATGGATGGCATAATTCAGAGACATTTCCTAGGAATACAGAGAATGGGATATTCAAGGCAACACAGAGATTAAAAAACAACAACAATTGAACCTCGTCTGCAGTTAGGCAATGGGAGAGCATGGATTGTGGCCACTGCCAGGTCCCCCCGGCCACTGGTGGGGGATGGGGAGGTAGGGTTGCCAGATCCATGTTGGGACACTCTTGAACATTTAGAGATGGAGCCTGGGGAGGACAGGGATCTCAATAGGGTGCAAGGTCGTAGAGCCTGCTCTCCGAAGCTTCCATTGTCTCAAGGAGATCTGATCTCTGGAGTCGGAAGATGAGCTGTAATTCTAGGAGATCCCCAGGTCTCCCTTGGAGGTCGGCATCCCTACGTGCTACACTGATCTATAGTTTAGCAATTTCCAGCTTGACTACTGTGACAACGAGCTGCTGTGGGTTGCTCTGGAAGATAGTTCAGAACTCCCTCTGATATACAATTATGGCTATGTGTTGGTTAATTGGTGATGGACTCTGACCTCTAGGTAGTCACCATTTTTATGATAGCAGCACATGTTTCCAGTTTTTTTTTCTGAGTTCAATTCCAGGTGTTGATGTTATTTAATGAATCTATATTTGTTTATTTAAAAGGTTTCTATCCTGCCTTTCAGCCTACACAGGGCCACCAAGGCTCCTAACAATTAAACTCAGAGCAGTATTAAAAATACATCATAAAATGTATTAAAAACTGGAATCAAGAGGCTCTTTAAAGTCCATCATGGCCTGAGACCCACAGACTTTTCCACACAATTTCTTGTGCCGGTTAAGATCGATTGAGAAAGCATTGCTAGCATTGCCTTTCCTCCATCAGTGGGTTGGATCCAAGCAGCTTTTCTTGATGATGAAAATGGAAGAAGGGGTCCCTTCTGGCCACCCCGAAATCTATGCTGGGATTACGGGACCTGCATGGGGGGAAAACATGTGGAAAATGGGCTGTAGTAAGGAGGGAAAATAGGTGAGACTGAATTAAAAAAGCTGATAGGATCTAACCCAGTTCGAATCATGGCTTTTTCTGTAATGCAACTCCTCTAGAAAGAGTGCCCAGAAGAAGTCCTGGCTTTCTGGAAACTATACAAAACTGAACTATTCAAGAGGGCTTTTCTGCACAGGTGAGAAGGTTGCACTGGACAAAAATGGTTTTACAAACTTGTTTGGATAAATGATTGGTGAGTGTGGTCTACACTGTTGTGTATAGCTTACTCTAAGAAGATCCTATTTATGTAATTTCTGTACCACTGAATGTGTCATGTGAATACTTAGGCTATGCTTCATCTCTTTCTGGTGGTTCCAGATGTTTAAAATCCTAATGCATTTGATTACTGAACATCAATTTTTGTGACTGTACCGGCTCACTTTATGCAACCGGTCTCGAGTCCCCGTAAGAAAGGCACACTATAAATAATGCCAATACATAAAAATAAATTAAATAAAGACACATGCCAGCTTGCACTTTTTGGATGTAAAATGTTTCTCTTTTGACTGTTTTGGATGAAAATGGATAGAATGTTTTGATTAGAAGGTGGGGGGGTTTTTGGATCTGCTGATTTAATGGATATTTTATTTGGGTTTTCTTTCATATATTAATATTGTGTGACTGTTGCTGCTATTACCTGCCACGGACACCTTTAAAAAACACACACAGAGCAAATATATTTTAAACGAATAAATTGTGTCGGTGTAGACCTTCATCAATGGGCTACTTGAGAATCCTACCAACTGCAGGTAGCCCAGGTTTTTTGCCATCTATAATGTGATATAACTTGAAGAAAATGAGGTTTAATTGAGGGATGAAAACAAGTTAGGTATGTGTATTTTAAACAAAATGTCTCTGGAGAGGTATGTTTTAGGACAGTGTCCGCTAGCCTATTCAATAGTGTTTGCTATAGCTATAATGCTAATTAGTGACAACTAGAGTCAAAAAGGAAAGTTTTTTAAGCAATGCAATTAGTGAATTAATTAAAAGTAGATGCAATTGAATGTGGAGGATTGTTCCTTATGGGAGAGCCCATTAACAAATATTCAGCACTGCCTGGATGATTTATACTATCCAGATCAACCTACCATACTTTGGCACGCTTCTCTTCCTACCTTCTGTTTTAGAGAAATACAAATGGAGA